CTCGTCCCGACGCCTACCGGACTCTATTTGCTCCTCCCTTGTTGCTTTACACTTGTCAATTTCTACTCCATAAATAGATCAATGATGATGATGATGGATTTATTCTCGCTTCTGGCATCCATATGGGTCGCGTGGTCGTAGTCACTATGACCAGCAAGCAACTGATGACACGGCCTCGCTCCATATACGTACCATGCGGCCAACCAGCTTGTTTCCTAGGTTAAGTAGCTTCCCAACGGCTAATTAGCTTCGTGATGAAGCAGTTTTCATCTTGATACTCCCTGCAAGAGCCCTGAGTTTTCCGATGGCAGCTTTGAGGGCGGGTGCTTCGGGATTCTCTGCTCCATAAATTGATTGATTAAGCCTTGTTCCCGAATAAAGTCGTCTTCGCGAGGCTCTTCCCGCGTCGCAGACAGCCAACCAGGGTGACTGCGGTGTTTCTATGTACATGAAATTCCCCGTTGGCCTTGATTCCTTGGTGTTCTGCCTGCCTGAGTGAAAGCCTAACGCCTCTGTCTCCACGTTGGCCGGTTGGCCTGGGTTTCTTGTGGGAATCCTCGCGTCTCCGCTGAACTGCCTTGGCCAAACGTTGGTGGTTCTTCCAGCTTGGTTCCTCTCTTGCTGCACGCAGTCACTCGCCAGGTGACTCCCTCTGTCGCTTAATCATTTTGGGGTAGTTGTTTTGGTCATGGATGTGGCGAGAGGAGGGTGAGTGTGGAAACATCAGTCAGGTAGAGGCAGCTGCCACCTAGCCTACCCATGCCGTGCCGAAATAGCCCAGATCCGTCGCGATTCATCAAGTTCCCCTGCTTCGCACTGCCTTCTGAGAGCCGCCGCAGTCCTGGGTTGTTAAGTATCAATTTGTTGCGGTATCCGCACGCGGGGCAAGAGGATATATGAAGAAAACAACAACGATTCCCATGCAACGCTCGTAGATCATATAGGTTTCATGCAAAAGAAGCTTTCAGCGTCAAGCTGAATATACACAGTGAAAATAACGCCAAAAGCCACCCATGGAATGCTCCAGAAAGCCCCTTTAACGCCTTCGAAATACTAGCTGCTGCATTAATTAACTAGCAGTCGCTAGCTGAGCCACCAAATCCGAGGCCACGTCAAGGAAGGGGTAAGGGCTCGTCACTTCTTTCTCCTTGTTCCGGAACCGTTTACTGATAGGGTGCCATTCGCTGTCACCTCCACCACGTATCACATTTTGATATCCATCACACTTAAAGTCGACCATGTAGTTGTTTTCTTCCAGCTGGTACAGCTGGATGTCAACGAACACCCAAACTCCGTACGAGATCCGCGAGATTGTGTGAGCCTGGGTCGCTGAAGAAGGATTCGAGATACTCGCGTGCTCTGGGGTGAGGCCCTTGTCATCAGCCGAGAATGGTCCGGTGGAGAAGTTAAACCGGCGCCGCAGGTCTTCCAGGTTCAGGTCGCTTCGGCTGCTATGCACACTGGCAGTCTGCCCGGGCGCCTTGACTCCCTCCTTCAGGAGACGCGCTCTAATGAACCAGGGGTCCTTTGGGATGTAGTAATCTGACGGTAGGTCTGGGTACTTGCTTTGAAGAGGCATAGGCTGGTCCGGGGGCTGTTCGCCTATTTGCAAGGCATCTGAGAAGCTGCCTGTTAGCTCTGAGGCTCATAACAAACACTCCTAAACTTACCTGCTCCAGTAGGTGCTATTTCCCAGATCCCTCCCTGGGCTGAGATGGCTTTGTATAGATAGAGCATTGCTTCATAAGGTTGGTTACGAGAGCGAATGCCAAATTGCCACTTTCGCGACCGTCTGGGCTGGTGCGGGGCACTGCGACCTTCGGGGGGCTGGAGGCGCAGTTTTTCAAGGTCCACGATGCTGCGGGAATGGGGTTTCAAGGCCCTTGCAGTCGCCTCCTGCTCCTCCTGCGAGCGCCCCGCTTGACCATTCCGATTCAAGTCATCCTCAGCATCTAGACCACCATGCGCCTGTTCCTCAGATGAACGCTCCGCAGCTCGTTCTCTCTGCTCACGTTCCCGCTGTTCCATGAGTTGGTCATGTACAAACGGCACACTGGTCGGCAGAATTCGAACATGGCTAACTCGCGGCGCATCGGGATCATCGGCATTACTCTGCTGAGACAGTTGGGACGGTTGACGCTGTGAACCACTTCGCGGTCTCGTAGGGGCGGTTAACGGGGATCCTGGGCTCAGCGGAACAGTCGATCGGCCAGCCGTGGCTGAAGACTGAGGGACTCGATCGGGGGGTGGTGAAGGGGCGACGGGAGGACCCATCAGGTTGTCGTCTGTTGGCGCTGTGGGTGAAAGTCAGCGTACTAGTCAATTGGTCGTGGCGAAGCAAGATTGACCTAACTTACAGTTCGTCTGCATCATCTCGTTCTCCATGATGATGAAAAAAGCATCTTTGATGGCGCTCGGTTCAGGGTTCTTTAAAGCGTCTTCAATGTCCTCACGCGTATATCCCATGCTCCGCTCCAGTTTTGAAATGGCGACCTGATGGATCTTGTGCTGCACGGACAGGGGTTTTCCCGGCGCAAGTTTGCGTGGATCAATGGCCTTATTTGGGTCCACACCGGTAGCGATGAATTCCTCCGGGGGGGGCTGCAGATACTTCGGTAGTTCTTGTAGAAACCAAGGATCCTGGCGAATTTCTGGAATGGTTATCCGATGAACCGGATGAACTTGCAACATCGACCGGATCAACCGAGCAGCTCCGGAGGATATGTACGCAGGCATATGAAAGTTTCCTGCTGCTATTTTCTTGAAAAGAGCTGGGATATAGTCGTCGTCGAAAGGAAGCCGTCCCACTAATAGCACATAAAGAATGACGCCGCAGCTCCATACATCGACCTCTGGTCCTGCGTAGAGCTTTCCCGAGATAACCTCGGGGGCTGCATAGTTAGGGCTACCACAGCTAGTCTTGAGGAAGTTCCCATCTGTCATAATGTTGCTCAGGCCGAAATCAGCAATCTTGACGTTCTTCTCCCGGTCAATGAGCAGGTTCTCCGGCTTCAGATCACGGTGGACGATCTTATGACGATGACAGTACTCTACTGCACATATGATCTGTTGGAAAAACTTGCGAGCTTCGGCGTCGTTGCACCGACCCCGCTTCACCAAATAATCGAACAGTTCTCGCTCGGCATACTCCAAGACCATAACAATATCGGTCTTGGTAGCAATGACGGTATATCTTTCGAGGCGAGATTTCCATTAGCTTCTCATCGCGATTGCCTCAATCCTGGGGAGATGTGCGGAGCTCCTTACAGCTTAATAATGTGAGGGTGTCGTAACAATTGCAAATATTGGATCTCACGTTCGACACGACCGACCATGTCTCGAGACAACAATTTGCGACGGGAAATGATTTTGAGGGCGACCTGCCGACCACTCGGCTGGTGAATTGCTAGCTTCACCTTGCCGAATGAGCCCTCTCCCAGTATCTTCACCGTTTGATACTGATCAAGGCGCTGCATGTCTCTGGTGGTGGCCGGAGACTGCATCGCAGCGTCGCCGCCTTTGCCGATCGGGCGGGATGGCGGAGGCATCGCCATGGCAGGGAAGTTGGAATTGGGGGGGGGAGGATTGGATGCACTGGGACGACGGTCACGAGGGCGATCGGCTTCGAAAGGAGGAAGGGAAACGGAGAGGTCTTCGTCGTCAAAGGCGGCAGCCATTGTGACCCTTTGGGGGGGGAGGGTGGGTTGGGTGTGGGAGATCAGAGCCGACGTCGGTTCGGCGAGTTCGGGGGAGGTGGGATCGAAGGACAACGTGACGTGATGGATTTTGGAGCGGAGAGAGCGAAAGAGGGGAGATATCCGAATTTCTGTTACGAAGGGGAACGGGTTCTTCTTGGGTAAGTTTTGCAGAAGCCAATAAGGACTGATAGGATGGTGAAGGTCGACGGGTTTGGACTCCCCCACAATTTCAAGTTGGCTCGAGTGGAGTTGGGATGTGTTGGTTGGGCGGGCGACAAGAGGTTAAGAATAGCAGCGAGGGTATGGAGGAGCTGTTCACCAGTTGGCTCATCCTCAGCGGGGCGGAGGGAGGGGGGCGGAAGAGCCAGACTCAAAGCTTTCTTGGGATAAACCCTGCGTCACCGTGGTGGGCAGTTGGCATGAGTGATAGCTATTGATGTTGGGGTCAAGTCAAACGGTGATCAGCAAGAATGTGACCGTCCTCAGTCTAGAGTATGAGACAAGTCAGAGAGGGGAGGGGTAATGAGATGAAAGATGATTACTGGAGATACGTCAAGGTAGGTATTCGGTCGGTAACAATGCAGTTTGAACAAATAGGTTCGGTATGGTATATTTCCGCAAGACAAGTTTCTCCATAGAGTGAATCTTCCGCCATTCTTATCTACCTACTATTCATGTATGTCCATGGATGCCACCCAATCAACCCGTTCAACACATGGAGAAGCAAGGTATCTTCTACGTGCGACTCGACCTGGAGAAAATGATCATTCTACGTGACTCCAGGTGTGAGACTCGCACCACTTCAGCCACTTCACTATACCCGTAATATTAGATCAGACGAACATAGCAACGATCCAGAAATATATCTCCAAATTGCCTTTTCTTGACAACTTCATCAAACACAACACCAGCTGATGAGCAGACAAGCAATTCAAATTCATGTTATCACCTACAGAACAAACTACGCCATCAATCATGTATGGTGTAGATGCCAAAAACATACGGTGGAATGAGCCAGCCCGAAGCTTGCCAAGGCGCTGCGCCGTTGCTGTCAAGTGTACATACTGTACGGCGAGGTAACTTCAGTGGGGGAAGCTCCGAGGGACGCTTGAATGATTTCGCCTCCCCTCTGTCTGGAACGGCCGCTCGTTCCACCACAAACAAGCCTTACACCTCTTCCGCCCGGCTCAAGCTAGGCCTCAATCCTGATCCATTGCCTTTAGGGCATTAAACTTCAACTTACCTAACAGTCTTACACCTGGATTTACACCGTCGTCAGCAGGCAGGGAGCCCGACCCCGGCATGGCGGCCGAACCGAGAGAGGAGGAGATCGCGAACTTCGTGAACTTTACCAGCTCGTCGCGCGAACAAGCTATAAGCTTCTTGAAAGTTTGTATCCGGACTCTCTGGCGGCACTGTCATAGCTAATCGAAGTCTCTGTACAGGCTAATAACCTCAACTCAAATCAAGCGATCAACGCCTATTTCGAAGACCCGACCGGCCCTCTGACGCAGGTGATAAACTGGACTTGCGCCTGGACACTGAGAAACACGAACTGACTGCAGAACTCAATACGATATAGGCAAACCAGTATCAAAATGAGCCCGATATGTCTGGTATGTGCCTCTCTCTTTCTGAGGTTGGACTCGTATGTACTGATGTTCCTGTCTTTCAAGCCTTCCAGATCGAGCATGTCGACTCACCGTATGGCCCTTCTGCTGGGCCTCCATCCCGTCCTCCATCCCGTCCTCCTCCATCCCGACCACCCTCTACTCTAAACCTCAGATCATCTAGTGATCCTGCGTCAACACAGAACAACACCGGTGAGAGTTTCTTGATTGGAAAAAGCATAAGCTGCTACTTGCGCGTCGAGCTGACTTGGCTCGTTAGCCGACAATGGCAAAGGTTTAACTCTGGCCGAGCAGGAAGAACGTGAGCTCCAACAAGCAGTCGCCATGTCTTTGAGTCAGAACCTCGGGCAGCAGGAGACAGGTGTCACAAGGGCAGGAAATACAAGCTTCAGCCGAGCGACCCGTGATCATTACGACGAAGGCGCATGGGCAATGACGCTATTCAACTCCAGCGCTCACGAGATTATCATCAGTCCTGACCCCACTGATCGTAAAAGACGAGAAGATGAACCGGCGTTCATTCGCCCGTCTCAGGAGAGCACGCATCTGGGTGGATTGGTGACGATACTTCACTCGATTCCCCTCGCAAGGGAGGCCCTTCTGCTGCGCAATCGCGCTCTCCCCAACTACGGCCACGATTCTCAATGGTGGAATGGACAGCCAATCAATCTTCCCAAAATAGTGACTATGTCCGAAGCCCATGAAGGTGATACTGATTGGGACGATATTATCTACGAGGCTCAGAGGCTCGTGGCATTCTTGGATACTACAACGCGTGCTTTTGGCAGTCCTGATGCTCTGGCAAGTCTACAATGTATTTCCCAGCACGACCGCGATAGTGCTGTTTCTAGGTTTTTGGAAGCATGGCAAGAAGCGGCTGTCCGCGCGGACCAAGGAAACCAGCTGGGGACAATATTCTCCACAACTGGCTACAATGGGCCAGAAGAAGACATGATGGAACAGAAGGAGTTTCACTTACTTGAACCCTTGGTTGAGCACGATCCTGGTCAAACACTCTACGATGTTCTTGATCGTGCCTTTTGGTGCGACAGACCAGACCAGCCGCTCGAAGAAGTTTGGCTTGAAACTCTTGCTGAAGTACTTGTCATGAAGCTGGAAAGCTCACAGAAGCCCATTGATGTGATCGTTCCCCCCGTATTTTATGCCGACCGGTATATGGCGAACAGCAGAGATGTCGCCCGCGAGTTCCGTACACGGCGACTTCAAGCTTACGAGAAGATTGACAAGTTAGGCAAGGCCATCAAGCGCTGCTCACAGTCCAACTTAACAGCCCAGACAGGAATGACCTCCAGAGATGTTCTCGAGAAGGCTGCCTCTGTCATAACTTCCAAGTTTGCTGATTCAGCACCAAGTGACATGGACATCGAAAACGTAGCAAAAGCATTGAGGGTGGTTTCGGCCAGGATAGAGAAGCAGCTTAGAGGTAAAGCACACTGTCTTACATGTCTCGTATTGCTGCTGATCATGATGTGCAGGCTTGGAGGACAAAAAGCAAAGAATCAAAGACAGTCTGCGAGACTATTCCAAATCCCTTACAGAGGCTACACCTGATGCCGGGCCACATCATAGATACACTCTGCGAGGTGTTTGCACTGAGCCTCATGTGACCTACGTCCTCAAACGTCGTGACCAGCGCGTGCCACCAAATAATGAGCCCCCAACGACGGAAGAGTATCAGTGGTGGCGCTTCAGTTTCTCAACGGAAGATGCAGCCATTCGCAAAGCCGAGTCGCAGGGCCGAGTTAAATGTGACTCTGACCAAACGGACATCATCGGTTACACCGCGCGCAGGGTTGATGAGTCCGAGGTGCTTCGCGCAGCCCGCGAAGAGTCAAGCCAGGTTCTGCTTGTCTATGCCAACACCAATGCAATTAGAATGCAGGAAGAAACCGCTCCTGTTCAGCTGCAGGTAAGAAAGCGCCCCTAATCATGGTGATACTCGTAATTGACAATGGTTCAGAAATTTGTAGCGAGGGACAACGAAACATTCGAGTCAGAGCTCCAGGACGCGGAGATGGCACACATTCCACCGGACACGCAACATCAGTCATCTGGTACTCTTGTGAGTAATCATTCAAACAGGTATACATGGACAGCACTAACACCCTTTGGCAGCCGTCACCGAACCCAGAGCAGCAGCAATCGACGCAGAATGTGAACGTCTTTGACTATCAGGTACCCTCTTTCAGCGAGACACAGGGGCCGGGCCAAGAGATGCAAGAGGTAAATGGGCGACCTTTGCTTAGCCGTAGCAGCACAGCTGGTCCTGTGCAACCTACCTTAGATGCCGATATGTGGGACGCGGTTGACGACAAAGCGACGTGAAGACGAAGAACCACAACCTTGTACTTATGGATATACATATGGCATGCCATGCTTCGAACGACTGAAGTTTGTTAGAGAGATCGCGATCATTAAGGATCGAATTAAACAATCAGTCGTAAGCTTGTGATGATAAGATCTTCGGCGGCGGAACCATTTGTTGTGGAATTGGGAGCTTCCCCACGTGTGTATGTCCAGTTTGCACCCCACTCTCCTATCCCCAAACACCCCCGAGAATCCATTTCGCAAGTCACGTCAACAATTCCTATCGATTCCCTCATGGCCCTCGAAAACGACACGGTGGCTGGCGCCACTATAGAGCTTCTGGAGACTCGTCTCCGACACCTCACATACCTCCTCACCGGTGACGCCAACTGGACCGGCGAACCCACGCCGCCCGCAAAGCCGGCCTCTCTGGACGACAGCATCTCACGTCGGCTCCTTCGCCTTGAGAAGGATTTGGAACGACTGAGTCGGAACATCCCTGCCGTGAGGGACGTTCTTAGTCTACGTATGTCGATGAATTTGCTATCTTGACCACGCTTTTCAAAATTATCTCCCATATCCCCCCCCCGTATATACACAAACAGAACCAACCACAACCACTAACGCGATATACCACTCCAGACGATCGCTTCCCCGAACTCTTTCGCCCAGCACCGCCAGGCTCCCTCCCAGAGAATCTGACCACTCAAAATCTCGCCTCGGTCGTTCTGTCCTATGCCTCTGCGTTTCCCGAAACCGCCTCCCGCCTCTCCTCACTGAATGACCTCCCCATCCCCGACGCGGAGACCTCGGCCTCCTTGATCCAACTCCAACCCCGACTCGACCAGCTATCCAAGACCCAAGAGGATCAGGCCCGGCAGATCTCGGAGCTACGGGTCCGGTCGGCCAAGGCGCTGCAGCGATGGTATGAGGTTGCGCTGGTCAGTGGCGGGGAGTGCTGGGCGGAGTGGGAGGGGCGACTCGAGGATGTGGAGAGGGAAGTGAGAAGGGAAGAGGTGGTTAGGGAGAGGAGGGAGAAGGAGCTGTGAGCATGAGCATGGGCTTGTTCACGATGTGCTTTGCTGCTGGGAGTGTTGTTGATGTTTGTTTTTTTCGAGTGTGTTGGGTTTCTTAGCGTTTTCCCATGGGCTTTTGTGATACCATTGTCCGTTTCTCTTCAGTTTGTTTTCCCCTCGGTGATGGATTTTGGGCTCAGGCTTTAGAGCCTTGAGTGTCTCATGGGGGAAGTTGTGTGGATCTACATCTACTGCTACGAGTACTGGGTATCAAGGGTGAATGCTGTGGTGGTGAAGAGAAAGCCTAGGAAGGAAGGAGAGCAAAGCTATTGCTTGCTACGAGAGAGTTAGGCTGCTTGCACTGCATTCTACTGCACCACATGCACCACTCCATGCATTGCATCACTGAAACCGACCAACGAAATCTTGGGAGGGGGGCGAACAAGCAGCGGCCTTTGAGTGGTGCAGGGCAGGCAGGATAGTATGCCATGGGCCTGGACCTCTTTTCCCCCAATGTGAGCGAGCCGCTGAGAGATATCAGGATCGGCCCTCCTTTCGGATGTCGGGAAGAAAGAACTGATGGACGGGGCGAGAGGGCCGGCCGGTACTAATAATGTTTAAGATTGACTTTCCGAGCGTGCAGTCTTTTCATTATTCTAAGACCCCCCACGGGTGCGGGATTCTCAAATTTGCCATGCGCTCATCTCTCGACCCTTGCCGCCAGTGGAACGATGACCGGTGGAGAGGCCTGGAAGGCAAATTTGGTGGTTGTGCTGCTGTTTGTGCTGCTGCCGCCGCTGCTGCCTTTGCAGTGTTTACCACCCCCGAGTCTCGTCCGAGGCTCATTTGACTCCTTCTCTCCTTCTCGTTCTTGAATGCGAAGTAGGGAGGGAGGCAGGGCTGATGGTGGGCCATCCCTGAAAGCGAAAATGACAGGTCCTCGAGGCTCCGTCAGTTGTGCAACATTTGTGACAGGAGAGAGGTTGACAACAAGCATTGGCTCGGTGTAGCCCACACATCAGAAAATAAAAATCTCGGGGGTCTACGGTGGAAAACCGGTGTCTCACTCTCGGTTTCTTACTCTAGACTTTTGAGTTTGGTTCATGCTTCTCTCTCTCTTGTGGATAACCTGTGCCATATTGGAAGGGTGTCTGCAGGTTCAGCCTTGCGTTGTCCGCCTTTTGCCGTTCCCAGGACGGCGTCGCGATTCCATTGGTTGGGATGCCTGGCGGTTCTGTACCTTGAATACCTTGGAGTGAGCCATAGTGTCGGATATGCGCATATAGAACTGAAGTGGACAGAGAGAGATGGTCTTGTTGATGTTCTGTAGTTGTTGTCTTCACACATAGGATGATGCATATGTCGGCGTCTTCAGAATACACAGTACAACAACTGGTAAGCTGAGTGTCGAAACCGATAAACAAACTATGTCGAAATTCAAACCAGACGGGCCAGAATCGCAGTCATGACAACTGTGCTGCTGTAGGTTGAATGCAAAGAGTGGGCCAAAGGAAAAAGAGAGAAATCAAACTTTCCTCCTTCCATTCTCATCTTAAAATTATGACTGATGGGAATGGATGGCGGTAAACTCAAGTTCCAGTCGAGCCGAAATCTGGAAGTTTCCGGGCAGGCAAAGATGATGGGATCGAGGATTGAGGAGCCAGCAGCCCTAGAGAGCATGCGTGCGTGTTTCATGTCTTGGTTATCAAGCCACAAGTTGAACCTCAGCCTCAAAGGGGCCAGACGGTCTGCCGTGAGTCCTGTACCTTGCGACTGGAATCCACTCGCGTGGCTACTTTAGTCCTAAACAAGAAAAGGCGTGAGACCGTGAGAGGGGCAAAAAGAAAAGAAAAAAAGAAAAGAAAGAGGAAAAAAATCATGGGCATTGCGTTGCGTGCGTCGTGCCGGGGCCTTTTCCTTCCCTCCCCCCCAAGTGGAATTAGAGGGACCCATTTTTCGTAGGAATGTGCATCGATCTTCGTTTGAGAAGCGTGGGCAATTACGGAGCTCTTTTTTTTTTTTTCATTTTCTGACAGGATTGCCCCCCCCCCTCCTCTCTTTGACAGGCCTCGATTCCCAGTCGACTTTTCGATCTTCTCTCATCCGGCTTATTATTACGTGTGTAATTACGGTCCGGATATTTTGATTTGATTTGGATTTGGAAAGGGGAGGACGAAATTTGATTGAACCATGGACCATTGGATCGGGCTGGTACCGGATTTTGCACAGGTTCTGGCTATTTGTGAATGGATGGATGGACGGATGGATTGCTGCTGAGTGTGATTGTTTCATCAACAATGAAGCCATTTGAACTAAAGGTACCTGTTAGCAGTCAGACTGTGGATACTGGAGACTGGATAGTGGTACGTAGGCATAAGAATAGTAGCAAATAAATCGAGTGCACGAGTCACGGGGCTTTGAAGAGACACATACATACACTAACCGTTTTGAAGAGGGGCCAAAACTGTAGAGTATGCAGTCTGTGTGCCTGTCTTACTCATATTTTCTTCTCTTGTCCTTTGCGGTTCACGGTTCGCGTGGAGCCAGCCTGAGGAGAAGCCTGAGTCTGGTGGTTGAATGCCTGAGCCCTGAGGTGGTGATGAAAATGGGGCCAGTCAGATAAATTCCTGCCAGTCATTGGCTGTTTCTCTCCCGCTCCAGCAGTCAATCTTGAAGCCGCCCCTCCCCATCCGTCCCTTCAGGAAGTTCACTGCACCTAGTCAGGTACCGTAACAAGATACAACAACAACTAAACTGATGTACTAACTTAATGGACACTATTCCAGAATCGATCTGTTAACACGCAGCCTGTGCCTGGAGTCTGGTCTGTCTAAGTGTCTATCGCTCTCTGTTCCTGTCTGTGTCGCTGAGTACTCTACTGCCTACAGTAGTTACCTACCTATCTTACCTACACCTCCATTGTCTCTCTGGGTCCCTCTCCTTTTCCTAGGCTTCACCTTCAGGTCTCCATCCATCCAAGTCCCATCACCAAACTCGGGAATCAGTCGACCAACAACGGCTAACTGACCAACTGGGCAACTGTACTAAACTTTCCCATCTTTAGCTCCCCTACTTTCTCTCCACGGCTCCAGGTCCCCCGGGCTTCAAGCTGGTTCTATCTCTTCTCTCTTTCTCATCTTCCTCTCCCGCTTCTCTCCTCTCTCTCCTTTGGATTCCCCTCCCCCTCCCTTCAACTCATTCATTCGTTTGAACCTCAGCTCCCCTCATTCCAACAATCTCTCTTCACTTTCTTTCGTCTTTCTCTGTCCATCTTTCCTGTCCGTTCATCTTGTTCGGGCATTAACGTTTCCATACTTATCCTTTTCTTCAACAGCCTGGTGCTGCTCTTTCTCGTTCATCCTCTGCAAGGGGTGTTCCTCGTTGGACTTCTTCCCACGGCTCATTGACCCCAGCCTCTTCAGAGGACCCTTCCTCACGGCGCTCTCTGGGTCAATACTCCGCCTGTTTCAAGACTGTCCGTGTCAATTGTGTCCCTATCCTGATCGCCAGCCGCATCGTTCGACCCTCATTTCACTTGGTCTGTCTCAGAAGTATGTGATGCATCACCCCTGCCGGGCACTCGTTAAATTGTGATTTGCCTTTAATCTTTTTTTAAACTCTCCTACCTACCCTCATGTCGGCTGCTCGTTTTTCCTTTCTGCATGACTTGGCCTGGGATGGTTCGTGTTGTTGTCGTGCCTCAACATGTCCTCCGACCGTTGCCGATCGATTGGCTTGCATGATTCTCTCGACGCTCACGTTCGTCCTCTTCCAAGCTGACTGACTGCGCTGTAGTCCCATCCCTATATCCGCGCGCTCATTGCCGCAATCTACGATCGTCATTTCGCGTGTTCGCATTCCACTTTCTCTCTCTCGTTACGAATCAAAGCAAAGGGGACCTGCCGTCGCTGCTCCGCATACCACCAATGAACGTGAGGTCATAAGCCACATCGCATCGCCTTGTGAACAACAAATCATCGTTCCGACGACCGCCATATAAATTCTTTGCGACTCTGAACCACATTCATGGTGGCATACTCTTCCCACTCACCATCGCTTCACAAACCACATCTATATCCAGAGCCCGCTCGCAAGATGGTGCGATTTAGAGCCAGCAATATTCTTGGCGACCCGTTCGCACTTGCCACTACTTCCATCTCCGTCGTACGTATTCCAGCCCCGTGAGGCCATTCTTCCGCGGACACCGGCTAATTGGGTTCAATCGCTTAGTTAGCATGGTTGATCGCATTCATTTCCTCGATAATCACTGGAATCCATGGGGGCTATCCCACTTATTCATGGTGGGCCTTGGCGTATGGGTTCTGCATCATTGTCGGGATGGCTCTCGTGTTTGGAACGGATACAGGCGTGGTCTATAACATCGCGGTATGACACTCTGGTCTCTGCTTATGGACATCCCTCAGGCTGATAGCTTCTAGATTGTGGGCTACCTGTCCGCTGGTCTCGTCTTCTCCACAATCTCGGTAAACTCGCTTGTTTATTCGAGTAATGCAGCTTCGCAAGCCGCGGGTGCAGGCTTCATCCTTCTGTCCATGGTGATCGTGCGTCATTTTCTCCCACGTGTTTATGGCAATGTCCTCGGCGCAATCATATACTTACGATGGCAATAGATTATCTGGATTTTCTATTTCGGATCAAGCCCACAGGCTTCTCACCGAGGTTTTATCGATTCATTCGCCCTTCAGAAGGAAGGCGCTGGTTCGTACGGCAACAGCAGACCTATGTCCACCGCATTCGGAAATCGACCCGAAACGACGTCAAGCCAGCCACCTCAGATGTACACTTCTGCTCAGCTCAATGGCTTCGAGACCTCGTCGCCTGTCTCGGGCTATCATGGTGGAGCCCCCGGGTCGGAACACCGCACCTCGCAGCCCCGCTTCGGCAACCCGTCAGCAACGAATCTTGCCCCGCCCGGCAGTGGTGTGCCTCCTGATGAAGTTCCGCAACCGACCGAGTATCCATATCGCGCGAAGGCTATCTACTCTTACGAGGCCAACCCGGAAGACGCCAATGAGATCAGCTTCACCAAGCACGAGATTCTAGAGGTATCTGACGTCAGTGGAAGATGGTGGCAGGCTAGAAAAGCCAATGGAGACACTGGCATTGCTCCATCCAACTATTTGATTTTGCTGTGATCCATCTGTGTCATCAGTCGACTATATGATCGTGTTAGCTCGGCATGGGGTCCGTCACGGTGTAACGTCCTTTCTTTCTGCTCTTTCCTGGTCTGATTCTCGCCTTCTTGACCCGTCGCGAGAAGAAAAAGAGATCTTTTTTTGTTTTGATACCCTTCGAGTTGTATCACTCGGCGCGAATCCGGTTTGTGAATATTTATGTCTTGATGGTTTTCTTGGTTACCTGCTATTGTTTGGACATTTTTTTTCCAAGACACATCTCATTCCCTGTTTTATATGTATGTGATTCTCATTGCTCGGAGCGAGCATCTATTGCCCAAGACCGTCTATCAAATGGCACTATGCTAGTGTATTTCCTTGCTCATATCACTGGATGTGGATATTGTTCTCAAGACAGTACTCTGTTTCTTATACACTTCAATGAATTTTCTGTATATTCTCAAGGAAGGTTTTCTTTGTATGTCGCCTCGGGACAGGCAGGCGCACGACTGACGATTAATTATTTGGTTGATGAATCAGTGGAATTTGTCGCCAGCTCTGACGGCTTACAGGGTTGTACTTGTTATATTCACTCTCTGGTTCATGCGAACTCAGTCGGACTTCGAATAGTATTCTAACCACCGCATAGGCCCTGGTTCTCAACTGCGAGCGACAAGTTCTCCACCAGCCGATCATGGGGAGTCAGCGACGAGCGTAGCTCGTGATCCATTGCAATTATCGTGTTGACTGGCGTTCGGCTCGATTTATACTTGGGGTTGACCTTGTTTGGGAGCTGGTTGATTATGTGTTTTGCATGGAAGTTGATCCGACTAACTTATACTGGCGGGGATTTCTCATCTCATTGACCATTTCGGTCTTAGTTCCGCTGCCGCTCCATCGCCCGCTCTTCCAATGACGGGCTTCGTTTCCCGAACCAGTGGATGATGGCAAGTCTTCCTCAAGGTCCGACTTTATCTCGACCCTTTCACCATGACTCGAGCCGTTGAGGATCCCTAGTCATATCCAGAGTTTTTCAAGGTAGTGGAGCATTCCTGGAGCAAAAAGGAAATTTTATGACGACCATGATGTGCTTGGCTCAAGTGTATGAAAGATGTCTGTAGAGGGGTTTCCCGCTTCTAAATTGCTTATCTATCCTACATTTTTAGCTGGTCAAACTGCTGTGATTATACTTCGGATCCTTTAAAAAGTCCCTTTTACGCCTACGTCAGCGGTTGCAGTGTATCCGGGCATCTCGATGGCTGGAGACGGCAATGTCACGGTGGCCTCGAACGTCCTAGGCACCATTGGGACGGTGCTCTGGTGCATTCAACTTATTCCGCAAATCTGGTATAATTGGAAACAGAAGAAGACCGATGGGCTTCCACCCTTGATGATGTTTCTCTGGGCTGCTTGTACGTTAGGATCCCTCTACGGCCCTTTCTCTCCCTAGTGTTCCAGACAAATGCTAATGATATCGGTGCAGGTGCAGTCCCCATGGGAGCCTATATGATCCTGCAGGGAGTGAATATTCCGCTACAGATCCAGCCCCAGATATTCGGGTTCTTCTCTCTTGTGAGCTGGGGTCAGGTTCTGTACTACGGCCAGTAAGCGGCTCCGGGTCTTCCTCTATTAATCAATCAACCCGTCTGACTTTGACTGGTATTGCAGCCAATACAGTCGCCGCGCAGCTACGGGAGTGGTGGTCGGCGCTGCGGTCCTGTTTGGCGGGATAGAGGCCCTTTTGATCCTCACGCTCAGAGCACGTGGACCCCCGAATGGGCTTTGACAACAACAAACTGACATCTCGCGCTAATGGATTCCAATAACAGATCCCCTACAACAAGGGCGTCACCTGGCCCGACCTGATCGTCGGCATCGTGGCCGCCATCCTGTTGGGACTGGGGCTCGTCCCGCCGTATTTTGAGCTCTGGAAGCGAGATGGCCGCGTGGTCGGATTCAGTGAGCCTTTTAACACGTACCCTGGGGGTGGGGGGCAAGCATGGGCGAGATATGTCTAACCCCGTTCTTTCTAGATTGGGTCTTCCTGTCTATCGACACTTTGGGAGGACTGTTTTCCCTCTTTGCATTGGGTAGGGTCGTTCCTCTTCTTTGGGAAGCGCGCGATTATAGCCCTGAGGATGGTTGATTGTTCGATATGATGGCTGACTTGGCTGACTTCGGGCAGCGGCGCAGGGTTCCTTCGATATTCTTGGGGGGATCATGTACATTGTTGTGTAAGTTGTGGGGAAAGTTGCGTTGGGATTTTGGAAAATGCATACTGATTACTGACTTTGAGGGGTGAAATGGGAAAGCGTCGTCCTGGAAGGTGGGATCTATGCGAGCCACATTGTTTGGCGGATTCGATATCGCGCCGTGCGGAGGAAGGCGAAGGCCACGGGCAGGAGCATTGATGAGGTGCTTGAAGAACGGTCGAGGTGCTTGAGGGCCTCTGATCCGGAGAATTTGAAGGGTCATGTTGGTGGCACGGCGGAGAGTCGAGAGAGTGGGAGTGATTGAGATGGGGTTCCCTATTGATGGGTCCAAGAAGTATATACATTGCGAGGTGATATTCTTTTTTACTAGGACTTTAAGAGAAAGATATATGATTGTTTTGCGGGAGGGGCTTTGGATATCTATTCAATGACTGACGCAAGAAAGAACCTACACATGGTCCAGGTGAACTCGTAGAAAAGCTCTTCGTAGTTCTGCGACTGACTGCCTTCGGTGTAGAAGCAAAAAGGCTCGGATGAACGATCGAAAGTTTCGGCCGGTGAGAAAGATAGCAATGCAGATGTCTGTCTGCAAGTGCATGCATGTAAATGTATTGACAGACCGATCGATGAATTGGAGGGCAATGCCAACACAGCGTGCATGAAACCGACGGTCACTCCCTCATTCTCACATCCTTATTAAACCGTTCGAAGCCCGGCGCTCTGTCGGGCCCAAGCGTGGTGAGGAAATTGGTTTTTTTTTTATTTTTAATAACACCATTATTTCCCTCGATCCGATTGTTCCTGCAACGGTCATAATAATCTATTTTAAATTGACTGGTAGGTTATATCCCCTAATAATCATAACATCTTGACAATGGATCTTGACATTGACATTTGCTTCACTTTCCTTCTTCTTCTTCTTCTTCTTCTTCCCCTCTCTCCTCCTCCTCCTCCCCTCCCCCTCTCCGCTTCCCCCCCTCTCTCCAAACACAACAACTACAAACATGACATCTCCAAAGTCACAGCCTCTCAATGTTTAAACCTTTTGATATGTTATTCTTGAGGCTGTTATTCTGTTTGCCACTTCGTTGATCGGGTCACTTTTGCTTATCCTTGTTCTCTTTCTTGCCAGCAGAGATCGCAGGCTAATCCGATAATCGACTAGAGCGACAGTCTGTCGTGCCTCATTGACTGGTCATTGGCAGACAGCTTCTGCTACTCCTATTTCTCTCTCTGCTTTTTTTTACTTCATGATTACGTTCAATCGTCTCTCTGTTCCATTCCTCTCTGTCCTTAAGTCATGACGAGTGGCTTCACTTCTGTGCCTTGTAACTCCTCGCCCTCATTGATGCTTGTATGCCAACTGAGCCGGCAGGGGACGCGGTGACCTTTCAGGGTCTGTTCCTTCATTCAACCACATCAGCTGTGCATTCATTCTTTTATTTGCTTTTTGCCTGGGCTCTAGTGTGGGTGTTTCAGATCATCAATCTTTTATCGGAGCTGGGTTCTTTTCTTCTGGTTGCTTCCTTGTCTATTCTTAACTTTCCTTTTCCTTCCCGGCCGAAGATTTGTTGTGCCTGGCCCTCCTCTAACGGCGTCGGGCACCTTCTACGCCTTGTACGGAGTCAATTAGAGGGAACCTTCAAAATTTCTTCTTTACCATCCCATGTCTTGTCACTCCTTTACAACTCTTTGCAGCTATTGCTCCAACGCGTCATGCCTGACCGTCGGTGGCTTCGATTGAAGGCGAAGCTCTGGCGGCGATCGTCGACATCCTCCGTTCCGGCCGCCGCCACCGCCAGCACCGATGATGGATCTGCTGGGTCCAGCCATGACTGCAACTTCAGCTCCAGTTTCTCCCACCACGACCCCCCTCCCCCTCATCCCCACGACCACGACCACGACCACGACCACGGCAACGGTAGTCCTCCGACTCCATCATCTCTCCCTCACAATTTCCCCCATCGAGACAACCTCGTCAATTCCGTCACCGACAACGGACAGCTGCAGGACCCATCGGCTAACGTTTCTCCGTCCGCCGATCACCAAACAGCCCGCCGCGCACACTCCTGCCAGACTCTGTCTCGACCTTCTCCCGACGACGGCCGTCCTCCCAGCCACCCGGTCGCTTCGGAGCACGGTGATTCCCTAGCTTCTGCCGCTGTGGGCGACATTTCCCGCGAACCGGTCCCGACCTCCAGCCGAGGACAGCTCGACGGTCCTCTCGACGGTCCTCTCGACAACACTCCATCCGTAAAGCCCCGACCAGAAGATACGGTCGAAGAGCAGCGCGAAGAGAATCGACCGTCGGCCATTCAGCAAACGGGCGCTGCATCTTCCAGTGCACCCCGACTCCCGCTGCAGCGCAAGCCTGTCGCTCGCACCTCATCATCCAGCAAACGTCCCAACTCAAGCTTGTGTTCTGAGCACGGTCACCCCCCACCAACAACGAGTCTCGCCCCCGATCGCCTACCCTCGCCGATACCAACCCCTCCCCCTCCAAGTGCCGGTCGCGCCAACGCCCCGTCTTGCCAGCTTGCCTTCAACAATCTGGGCCTGGAACGCCTGGGGTCTGCGGTCGTTGAACCCCAGTTACCCGTCTTAGATGCAGTTGCGGAAATTCCGTCCGGGGAATCCACAACCTACCAGGTAGTGACTTCAACCACACCCGCACCGTTCCCGAAGCGCCCAAGTCTTGGTTCTCGCCGTCAGTCACTGCTTGCGCCGTCGCACCAACATCTGATTAACAGCCTGCTGGATTCGGGGCCCACGGGTGAACCTGACGGATTTGACAACGGTCGCTTCAATACGTACGGTACAGGTATGGTTCGCAAGATCTGGGTCAAACGGCCAGGTGGGTCGGCCACTCTGGTCCCCATCACGGATGACTTCGTGGTGGACGAGCTGCGAGACCAGGTGATCAACAAGTACGCCAACTCTCTGGGCAAGACTTTCGATGCGCCCGATATCGTCGTCCGAATCTCACCCCGAGAGGGCTCCAATCGACAAACGACACCCGATCGGATCCTGAGCCCAGAGGAGTCATTGATGAACGTGGTGGACACCTACTATCCCGGAGGGCAAGTCATTGAAGAGGCTCTTATCATCGACATTCCTCAGCGACGCACACCCAAACCGTCCCCGCGCCCTCAAGTCTACTATAACCAGTCCGAGCCCGGCGAGCATGGCGACTACTTCCCTCTCATGCCAGCGAATCCCACAGTTCCCACACCGCCATCACACCCAAACAACTCCTCTGCCAGTGTCAACGCCCATCCCGCCCCGTCGATATCAATCCTCACTACAGGTATGGCCCCGCCACTGCCTTCGCCGGGAAGTCGCGGGAATCGACACCCGCGTCGGCCACCACTCACTCGCCATACTACAAACTCTCCTACGATGCTAGGCCAGGTGACGGCTCCGAAAGGTTTGTGCCCTCTTGAACCAATCACCATCTCAGGCTTGGCCTTTTTCCCAGATAGACCCGCTTACTTTTCTGTTAGACCCCAACGGTGTCCCAGGACCTCTATCGTCCCAGCCGGTGCCCTCCATTCCCACTCCGCCCGGTCCTCCCCCGGAGTCACCTCAGGCCAAGTCGCTTACACCTCCTGCACGTGGAGCTTCTCCGCGTCCCCGTCCGTCTGCGTCGTCCGCCAAGCCGAAGAAACCGAGTGCGACGCAGTCATTAAGTGGGGCCTTTGGTGGTCTCATTGAGGGCACGGTGCCACCGATCAACGTGTTGATTGTTGAGGATAATAATATCAATCAAAGGCTTCTGGAAGCGTTTATGAAGCGTCTGAGTGTACGTTGGAAGTGCGCTGCAAACGGCGCAGAGGCCGTGAAGAAATGGCGACAGGGCGGTTTCCACTTGGTCTTGATGGATATTCAATTGCCCGTCATGAACGGATTAGATGCAACGAAGGAGATTCGGCGACTGGAGCGGCTGAACGGCATTGGCGTGTTCCCTAAAACCGCCGATGGACGGGCTAGTGCGGCCACGGCCAGTGTGACCTCACCGCCAGCCATTCCAGGCAACAGTGATCCCCTGAATGAAGAAGACACGTTACATGACTTGTCTCTGTTCAAAAGCCCGGTCATTATCGTGGCGTTGACGGCGAGCAGCTTGCAGAGTGATCGTCACGAAGCTCTGGCGGCCGGCTGTAATGACTTCTTGACCAAGGTATGTTGTCTGACTTCCCATGACTTAACCCCTTACTAATAGCGATCTCTTCACAGCCTGTGCGATTTGAATGGTTGCAGCAGAAGGTCACGGAATGGGGATGCATGCAAGCTCTGATCGACTTCGAGGGCTGGCGCAAGTGGCGTGGCTACGCCAATGATACTTACTACTTCCCAACGGCGGAGGGTCATACAAGCCCCATGCAGACCGGACCCGAGACAGCCTCGAAGAAACCGTCCCCGAGTATCACTCCCTCGCCGTCTTCGATGCTCAGCCAGAATGGCAAGAAGGAGCGTAAGGCCCTCCATCTGCCCAAACCCATTGATGTGACCCCGGAGGATTCTTCCGGAAGTGGGAGCGGAGAGGGACTGGATTCGCCAAGCAGCCCGGTGACATCTGTCCCAGTCCCAGGTATCTCAGCTGATGCAGACGCACTCTGATTATCCGTCAAAAGAACTCTCCTCCATTCCCCGCAACATCCTCCTCTCAAACAAACGCACCTACCCACTCACCTTTACCTCTTTGTCTTCACTCACGACAATCCCTGGCGCAACCAGCTGGTGTGTATATGGTGTTATCTCGCTTCACTGCAATCCGCCGCCTGCTATCTTCGTTAACTGCCTCCCGCAGCCCTCTTCCCCCCAATCTGGCGGCCTGTTAGTTACCTCGCGACTTTGTGTGTCTCTTCCCATGGATACCCAGCATAGCCCTTTATTGCTCAGCTCGATGTTTTTTTTTTCAGTTCTAGTCTTGGCCTGCTTGCTTGCTTGCTTAATCAGGATCACGTTCACCCGGCTATCTCAAATCCTCCTTCTCTTTTTGGTCTGGTCTCCTATTCTTATTTTCTTTTCTTATGTATGTCCGGGCCGGGTCGTCCCCGCTTAGTTTCCTTTCACCTTTTCATCTTGTCTTGGAATATTGAGGTCTCTCCTCCGGAGAACAGCCCGTTCTATCGCATATTGCACGTCAGAATGCCCTTATCAATTCTGGTGAATCAAGCACGCGACAGGGACGACTATTCTCCCGCACACGAATGGAGAAAGCTTTTTTATTTTCTTGTGGAAACCTATATCTCTCTGCTTCCACATTTTCTTGCCCTCACCGCCCCTCCCTTTTTTTTTTTCCTACGTCACCCACTAGGGTGCAGTACAACTACACAGTACAGTACAATTGTCACATACATACACAGATATACAACCTGCATATAATTCTTGAATCTTGTCCGGTTTCCCGTGCTGAGTTTGTGTATGGGTTTGAGTGAGAAGTGAGGGGGGGATTGGATTTTTCTCGGGTGAAGTAGGTCCTCTCCCCTACCTTGTGTAGCTCAATCCGAGACGAATATAGCTTCATAGACACTTATCGTAAGTTCTCTACGAAGAAATCAATTGGAAAAAAAAGGAAATATCATAGGACGTTTCAACTGTAGATTGATAGTCATGTTGTTGATATGTTGATTGGTTGGTTGTATCTTTGGCATGAGAACCTGGGATGTAGGGTCCTCTGCACTGGTAAATAGATAGATAGATAGTGACCAGAGGATCTGAAAGAAAGGTAAACAGGGAATTGTATAATACAGTACTCCGGCTGAAGGGGAATCTGTTGAGATAGATCCATCCCATCCTGGGGCGGAGAAAAGAGAATCAAGGAACCGGCACACACATAAACAAAGCTGGAAGGACAACAGGAATAGAGGAATTACACGCCCATATAATACAGTTCAGCAGGGGGGAAAGCAAACCAGACCCATCATTGGCATACCGATAACATCCATACAATGTTCGTTCTCGAAGACCTCACTGAGGTGAGGAGAACGTCGCAAATGGTAGAAAAGAGAGAGGGAGAGAGAGAAGGATCGAGAAGGGGTTTAGACCTTCACGCGAGTGGGGATCTTGACCTGGCCCTTCTTCCGATCAGAGCTGGGAACACCATAGCGGCGACCAGGAGCCTTGTGACCCCGGCCAGTGAGGCCTGTGGTTTCCCGGCTGACGACCACATCCGTGAAGCGGAACTCGAACCGGGAATTCTCGGGCTGGACCTTCTGGGTTTTCATCTCCAGGCGCTGCTGGGCTCGTTCCTTGCGCTGTAGCTCTACCTGGGTCTCCTGTTCGAGACGCTCCCGATACTTCTGACGGACCTCGGCGGGCTCAGTTTTACCAATGGTCAAGCGATTGCGCTCATGAGTGATCATGTGAGGGTGAGGGATACGAGCGTCCGCGGGCAAAAGGACCTGGTGCTCTTCGTCACCCTTGCCGACCTTCTCAATATTGGCAGGACTCTCCTGAGTGATCCTGCGGATAGTCTCGTCGGGGTTGGCTTCAAGCCATTCAGCGCGCTGGTTTCTCAAAGCAGGGGCAGCAGAGAACACGCGGCCAGCGTCAATCCGATTGAATTGCCGAGACTCGGAGACAGGGTAGAAGATTTGAGGGTCGGTTAGGCGGTGAACCGGCAGGTCATTAATGGTCTCGTGGGACTTCCGTCTGTCATCGTGTTCCCGCAGGTGGGTGACAGGAACCATTTCATGAATGGCACGCGCGTAGGGGAGTGCAAGGGATTTGCCCTGGTGAACGACGCGTTAGCTTTGCTAGAAAAAAAAAAGACAGCGTCGACAAAATTAACTCCAGAAGAAGGTGGGTATTTGATGCATTTCAGATTTAAAGGCGTTGTAATCATGCCCAGTGACTGGGTCATAAAGACTAATCGATTTTTATAATTGTCTCATCATTGCATCCGAGAGGCGTTTTTGAGGGGACGCGGGAGCAAGTGTAGAAGGGAAGGGCAGGGGGCAAGCCATACTTGTTCTTTCATCTGATTCTCCAACTCGACCAGTCGAACTACCGCAGCTACTCTCCTCATATCCACGCTATACTGGACACTCACAGCCCGCACGCTCTTGTTCTGAACGGTCACCTGACGATGAATCTCGTTGCGCATGTCCTCGCTCAGTATAGGGTCGCTGCGATAAAGAGGATTTCCGGGAAAAGGCTTGTTAGTATGTGTGATGTAGTTGGTTTCACCAGGGGTGTGATGTTGTAGTTCGGACCCTTTCCCGCGAAGCCATCTGATCATCTCTCTGCGAAGCTTGGTTTGTGAAGGTCTTGTGGTAGAAAAGGAGCGAGAAGCCGGCCGCGAGGCATCTGTGAGGGAAGAAGATGTGTATGCGGTAGTGAGTCTGAAGAGAGAGGTGGAGGGGGAGGAAGAGAGGTAGGGAAGGAGGGAGTTAGAGACCAGGTGGTTCGGTATTCGTTGAGCCATCTTGGTGTGTATTTGTGCTAGACAATGAGACAAGGGGATGAAAGAGGACCAGAGGAGGAGAAGTAGGTAAGATGAGGTCAATGAATGCGGGAATAAGAGAAGGGAGGTCCAATTGACCGGAGGGGAGGGGGGATGGAGGGGGAAGGGTGAAGCAAGTAGAGGTGAATGTTGACGAAGCAAAAAGAAAGAGAACTGCACGCGAATCGAGGGTAAGAAACTTTTTTCGGGAGATGCGGTTGCATCACGTGAGCAGACCAACTTTCGTGGGTTTGAGGCCCACTTGCCCAGATAGGAAGTTTGCTACTGCCGCCGCGGCGTTGCGGGATTGAAGCAATTACGAGTATCTCATTAGGTGGGAATTAGGAAGGATGAAAAATAATACTAATAACACTGAGCACGCCTCTTTTTGCCACGCTCCCACCGTTTCGACCATCCATCCAATGGCGCAAGAAATCAAAGCTATAGAATGGAAGCCACAAGTCAGGAAGAGAGGGAGAGAGAAGGAAAGAACAGTGTCCCATTTGAGCCAACCAATGACCAATACAAGAAGATATGACGCTGTGAGGGAAAAGCCAAATCGAATCATGGTACTAGTAACGTGCGACGATGCAGCAGCTAGCCAACAGTAGCCTTCCAGAAGTCTTAAGTGTATACCCATGTCAACGCCTTGCCCCATTTGCAAACATTGGTGGTTATGATTGGAACTGACTCAGGAAAATGCACACGAATAAGAGTAGGGAATCGATCAATCTTTAGCAAGAACACATTCGAAGGCAAAAAAACAAGGCACAGATACGGGGTATGAAGATGGTGCAGGAAACAACGCAACAGGGACTTGATCAATGTAAAATCCTCACGCAGATGCAAGATTCCCCTCCAGAAAAAGCAGACATGCAAGCAGCGCCCCTGTTTCCATGCTATCAGAGTGCAATATGAAAAGAAAACCACGCAAGTCAAAGTGTCCAGGGCCCAAAATCCTTACTCCGAGGAGGAAGGTGACCCTCCAAATGCTAATCTAACTTATAAAAAACGATAATCGCCCCAATACGCCAGGTAGCCCAGTGGTCATCAAGCATCGCGGACATTTAGTGTTCCACAGAGACGTAAAATTGTTCTTTTGACCTCTAGCGGCCCATCATGTAGTCCGGATAGGAAAAGTTGAACCCTCCCAGATTCGGCGCCCCACCGGTGAGCGGCGGAGGAGGTGAAACCATCGTAGAGTTGGTCCGGATTCCAAGGCCCGGGTTGGAGTTGGGGTTGAAAGCGCCATTGGTGGGAATGGGGGCATGCATGTTGCTGACAGGATGGATAGGGCCGTTGTTCCTCAACGCCAAGGGGGGAGCGAGACCGGGAGGCGCTGATAGTCCAGGTGGCGGGCCACTGACCGTAGAGAACACATGGCTATTGTGAATCCCACCGAGGCTGCTGCCGCCAGGTACACCGCTTTGAGAAGTCATGGTATTCGATGCACTCATGGAGCCCGGTTGCCCGGAACGCACTCCCAAAGGGTTCTTCGAAAAGCTGAGTCGAATCCCAGTCTTGATACTATTCGACAATTTGAAGCCGTAGAGCTCGTTGAGCGCCTTTCCGGCGGTACCCACATCGTCGAACTCCACAAAGCACATAGGACCATTCTGTTTGTTCCGGAAACACAGACGTTTGTAACCACGCTGCTTAGAAAATAGAGCCTTGAGCTCTTCCTCCGAGGTATCCGGCGGAAGATTACCAACGTACAGAGTATTGCAAGGCGGATTCATATCGTTCGGATTCGCAGCAGGTAGACTGTGGCGGTGCATGTGCGGGTTGCCGTAGGGAAATCCGTGGCCGGCCCCAATGTTATTCATTGCTTGCGGATATGTGGATGCAGGGGTAGATACTCCCATATGCGCAGAGTTCTGAGGAGTGTAGCCCTGGAGTGGTGGCGATGAGATGTTAGTCGCCAGGGACATACTGGCAAATTGATTACTCAAAATCTGAGGATTCGTTGCACGGCGCCCAGCTGATACGGCACCAGAATGTCCGTTTTCCGCATAGCCAACGGGGTCCTTAAGAAGTTCCCCCGTGTCTTCGTCAATGTCTTGATCGATCATCGATTTGCCGCTGACACGAGGCAATTCAGGGATCCCACTTCCAAGTGGCGATTGTGGAGCAAAGATGTTGTGCAGGCGGGAACCTGACTCTGGCAGACCATCACCGTTGGCAGCTCCGGTTGTCGCGCTGAGCTTCTCCAGACTCTGAAAGGTTCCGTTGAACCGTGACGATTGACGCGACAACGCTCCGTTGACACCTCCCAACAGACTGCGGGTTGCAGTGTGATCAATGGTGTTCCGTCTAGGTGCCAACGACGATCCCACTGGGCCGGTCAATACCTCCACAATCATGGTAGCATCGTTCTTGGAATTCGGTTTTCCATGGAGCAAAGCCCGCGCCTCTTCAGCAGCGGCCAGCGTGCCAAAGCGCGCGACTGCACAAAGGTATCCATTATCTTCCGGATGGTCAGAAGGTATGAATTCAGCTTCCACGAGGTCTTTCGCGAATAGCAGCATACTGCGCAAAGCCTCGCGACTGGTGTTGCGCGGAAGCTTCCGCATCAATATGATCCCACCAGCCCCATTGACAGGACGGGCGAAGCCGTTTAGCGACTGTGCCGAGTCGGCGAAGCGCATGGTGGTCGAAGCGACAGTGTCAAAGGACGACGAGGGCGCGATTGGGGAGAAGGGGTGAGTGAACGTAGGAGCTAGCGATGAAGAGGCCTGCGACGCGGGCGGACTGTACACGTCGGTCGACATCACATTCTGGGCCGTCGAGGGCGGCTGAGAAGCTGAAAGCGACTGGTGAGTCGGCGACGCGCCCGAGGATACAGACGGTGTGCGCTGAGTGGTGCTGAAAGAGCCGGGACTCGTGCGGGTGGATTGATTCGAACTTCCACTCATGCCTTGCAGAGGAATGAATCAACGTGTCAAGTCGATCGATCAATGAAATTCCACGAACAGACTCGAGGAGCACGGACTCTCTAGGAAGGCAAGGGAGCGAAAGTCAAATGGGTGACAGGCGGCACCGGTTGGAGGAGCCAGCAATGAAAGAATTAGTAGCTGGAACGGTAACGCAAGCAACTTATCACTTATAAGTAATCTAGTGACAGATGATAGTCCAAGGTAAGTGAGACGTGCGATGAGTGCGATATGCTGGGTTGCGCGCGACTGGAATAGAAGTGCCGCGTTCGGCCGCGTTCAGGAGGCGATATGCGACAAAATGAGGAATTGACGGCGACGACACAATGGCTGAAACCTCAAACGGAATAATAACACGAGTAAATATTGTGAATCGAAAGATGTGAGAATGTGAAAGGACTGATTAAATGATTTTGATGATCACAATAGTGGTGTAGGACAATGGCGTGGTGTATTAGTGGGGAGGAGGGGAGTGGGGGGTGGGTAGAGTATGATGAAAGGAGAGGAAGATGCAGAATGGAAAAGAGACGGGAGGGGG